GTTACTCATGTTCACGGAAAAATAAGGCATAATTTTTCTTTAACAGAAATTTATGTGACTGTGCTTTTGACCATTAACATCAAACAATGTTTGGAGTTTTATGTGTTTAACTTTGCCAAATTTAAGTTCTGATTCATCCGACGTGTTAGGCTACTTTGTAATAAGGAATGATCTTTAGCAACTAGGAACTTCTAAAAATACAAGTACAGTGTTGATAATCGAAAGACTTAGATTATGACGAACGACCCAAAATTTCAGTATCTTATTGAATATACAAGTATCTCAAGAAACAGAATGACGATTCTACCTTTTGGCAGAGTATAATTGTTTGAAATATTCATCAGATCTATCGATGATTTCTTTCAGGGAGTGCAGACATTGACGAAATTTGGAGAAAAAAGGATGGTGACTGATCAAACATAAGGATGTTAATATTGACTGCTTATTGTCATTCCTCAGTATTTGATCTTTAGGCGCATCAACGAGAGTTGAATTTGAATCCCATTTACTTTTGGAATCTTCGTTTGAACATACCTGAAAAAGTCAAGATGAATAACATTGTGTTCTTAGAAAAATATTATATATAAAGAAGGTTTTTGCATCTGACACTTTATCACAAGCTCATGCTCCAAATTACGTCGTTTTTAGTGACCAACAAAACGTTACCTAAATTTTCTATTAATTCTTATAACCACGTACATAATGTTGGCAATACTGATTCTTCGTAACCCTGATTTTTGATTCGATTTACGTGGTTGTCGGACCAAAATAATGTATTAATCATTAATGATATCACAAATACATTCTTGCAAATTTTTAAAACTATTGGCTGTGGTTCTGCTGGAGCCTTGAATTCACGCTAAATTTAGAGTTCATAATGAAATTTCATATAAAAGCTATCAGAAATCGGCTCAAACATGTGAACCAACGCGGTTTTATGATAATAAATGGCTTAAAACCGTATAATTGGAAACAAAACCAAGTTATTTAGATGAAATACCATAACTCACCTGCAATAACAACTATTTGAAACTAAACGTTCAGCCACAGCTACAGCTGAATACCTCACTTGATGAAAATGTCATACAGTGTTATGTAAAAAGCACTTTTTGGGCTTTTCGGCATGTTTATACAATACGACATGGAAAAATATTAAATTTTGTCATCAGTAAACACAGTGTACACTTTAACGGTAAATTCTAAGTGACTCTCAACCATATTTCGTATTACCTGTTAGTAACTGCTGTTGCATCTATCCTACCTGTAGGAATACGACTTATACACACAGTTCAAGTATATAACACTGAGCAGACACAAATAACTAAGTGCTTGAGACACTCGATATTCAGCCAACTGTGGGGCGGGTTTTGCCCTCGTTTCGGATACCTCGCCTTGAGTAGGTGATTAGTATCACTAAATCCCACATCTGCAATGCGGCTCAAGGCTGAATACACCATATTATGCGTAATAAACGACCGTAAATCAAGCCTCTATATGAACGTTTTGTTTCTTGCCAAAGAAGACGAAAACATTTCAAATTGTGAGATATTTTTCTTTGTTTTATACTAAAATAAAAAATAATGGGGCACTATAGTATTTTCGAGACCAGAAAAGCATTAAGGCCATTGCTAACACATTCTTATTTATTCCACAAAACAAGCCGCTAGTAAAATATATCTTGATAATGTCTTTTACTCTCGTCTACTTATGTACTTGAATGAATACTCTGTTTCACCATTTAAAACCCACTGATATCACACCAAGATTCAAAATGTTGTTAAACTCATTCGACATCTTATCCATACTGGTATGCTTAAACGTTCTTGAAAATGTCATTTTCAGCCCGTAAATAATGCAAGTACCACACTGAAGCTCTATTTAATGGGTGTGATGATTAGTTTCTGAAGTTTATTTATTGTTATCGTTTCAAATTAATTTAGGTTTTATTCAAATTGTCACGCATAACCGGAATCATAGACAGATATCTTTGCATTGGCATACATTTGCCTTGATAGTTATATTTATTGGACAGCCACTTTTTTCAAATGCATAACGACCTAAAACGTCAAATATAAATCGGAAAACAGTCCAAGAATTTCTCTTTGTTGAAACTCACCGTCAGAAATGCAGCACATTTTTGAAACACTTCTATAAAGAAGAACAAACGAGTTTCATGACATTGTAACTAAACGTGTATATACAGAATACATAAACGTTCCTTTAATTGGAAGGTATGTGTTCATTAATAACCGGAAAGAATAAAGTGAATGGTTTACAAACACCTAGGAATTATACCAAAGGTGTCACAACCAGTAATCAAAATAACAAAAAAGACAACCGACCGCAAACATTAAAACTTACTGGATCAAATACACTACATTGTCGAAAGAAGTTCAAGCATATCCCGAAGCGAGTTTTCTGTGAGTCTTTATCCGTCAAAGTAAACACAAATGTTGTAGTTCCCTACTAATACCAAAGTGATAAAAAATATTACCATATTCGCCGAACTCAAATTTGACGACAGGCATCCTTCAGGCTGGCAGAAGTACACGACATCATTAGGCAAAACAAAGTCCTTATGTTTTAACGATGGATAACATTTCAAAATGCTTGGTATCTGATTGCAAACCTCTTCAGAATGAAAATGTCCTTCTCGGCCTACGAACACCAAGTAATCAATCAGACGAGGACAATATGGTAAGCTATCACAATTAGAAAACATGCTGAGAAAATGCTTATTAATGACGCTTATTCAATAGACCCTCCTTTGAGTTCATGTACACCTACGTTGATCAGATTAAACAAACAAAATGTGTACGTATTATTTAAACGTGATACCGTAAAAACAAATCAAACTGCAATGGTGCACAGAAGGCTTTGCCTACTATGTGTAAATCATGAGAAGTATTTTCCGGTGATTTATTAACATTTTAAGCGATTATTCGGAAGATAAAATGTTTTGGAGGAAAATTGTTCTCTGAGTTGGATGGTTTGGTCGTAAGGCTTCCATTGATCTCCTGACTGGTGAAGGCTCTGCGACCAAATGATCTGGCTCAGAGAACGAAACTACACCAAAACCACCCGCCTGAGCTACAAAACTTCTCCAACGTAGAAAAAAATCGTCGACATAGTGAAATCGACAGTCAAGATAACTGTTATTCTCAGTCATCCTCATAACATGATCATAAGCCTTACAGCCCTTTGCCAACTCTGCAGCTTCATACGTTCCACGTTTTTACTTTGAGAGCACAGATGATCGATTGAACGATACTTTCGAAAATAAAAATGGGTGGCAGACAGAGACAAGGAACAAGGATATTAGGAGGGATGTAAACAAGATTGATAATGTTATACAGATCTGTAAAATTTCATTCGCACATTCATAAACAGTGTTTGTTGTCCCTTTACTTTTAAACATGATTGAAATCCTAGTAGTTTTGTCATTTCAGCTTGATAATTGTGATCGAAACATTTTGTAGATGATCACCTAAAAAACACCGCTTTAAGGTCTTGATCAGTGTAGATATCATCCAAATAAACTTATTTTGCGGACGGATGTCATCAACTAACTTTTTATTGCTTTGTATCGGCAGCCCATGAGGCTTGGTTCCTGAACATTTCCATAGATTTACTTCTATAAACGAAACACGTGTGTTTGTTGCCAATATTTCCATCAAAATAACTCATTTTCATCAATTTTTGCAGAAATAGAAAGAATAGGAAAAGTCGAATTTAGCGTCTTACCTTTTTATTAACTTCCACCTAGGCTTATTAGGTCAAGCGATATCACAGTACGCTAATCCGAAAGCCAAAAACGAATCTGTACAGCTTGTATTCTTCAAGCATCTAATGTCAACAGATTGCGCAGTTAGTCGGATTAGAGTATCTGTTTGATCTACACAGCATCACACAAGCCTATCTTGTCTAATGATACTTTAAATAATCTCACCATAACTTGTTCATCAGACTCTTCGATCACACTGACGTAATCTAAAGGACAAAAATATTTTGTCAGTCATAAATACACTTATTGATTTGGGTCATGGTTAGTATTAAATGTAGAATAAGTATAGGATATCGCATGTGCCTGTTCAGGTAGTCCGCTAGTCATGGTTGAACCAACAGGCCGATATTTGCTGTGTTGTCAACAGCAGATTATATAGTTTTCCTGATGTCTGGTTCTATTTACACTTCAGAATCCGTTAGCACGTGCTTGTATGAATGCATTGCAAAATCCCTCCATGTATGCACTTGCATTTTGTTCCTACTGATTCCTTTAGTTGTATATTTTGTTGCGATTGGTAATTTTCTCGCATCCTTTATCAACCTCCTTATTAGTTGTAATTCAGATTTGAATAATTGAACAATTCTTGGTTGAACACATGTGTGGTCATATTTGTTTAGGTAACAATGTAAATTTAAACTTATAATGAATTTCACTACCGCCATTTTACCCAGTCACTTTGTTTTGGATTCAACTGGGCTAGGGAGCGTATCTAACTCACCTGGACAGCTATCCTTCAGTCCGAACCTTTATTTGGATCTAACACTCCATACTCATTTTTTCTTGTCGTCAGTTTCTTGTTCTACCACAACATTCATCATTCTTCCATTGCCGTCAGTATCTATGGACATTTTGCTTCTCTCTTGTTTTTTCGCGGTTATTACTACTATATTGTTCACAGTTGTTTATTGGCGACCGATTATTCAACCTTATAGTATTTCAATTCTCACCTAAAACCATGGCCACGATTTGTAAATCCAACTCAAAACTGAAGTTTATACCTTTATACCTTACCTTGATGTTTTTGCACTGTGAAATGTCAGTTGGTGATGAAAATTATGAGGTGACAACCCTAACTCAAAACACTAGCTCGACTCCTTATATAAATATATATTTATCCAAAACTTGCCCTTTTTTCCTAGCTGGAAAATATAGTTTGACTTGTGAGGGTTAATGACTGTAATCCACTGTCATTCCATAACTTTGTACTGTTTATTGTTTTACTACTGACAACGTTTTTCTGATTGGCCGCTAATTGGCTCAAGGTCGTTGGTGTTTAATTACTTACTGAGATTTATGTAAAGTATTTTCTTTGGTTCGATCAAGTTTGAGAATCGATTACTTCCCTTCCGTGTCCTGGTTCGTTAACTTATAAGTGTTAAAAGCTCTGGAACTCTTTTTGATGCTATTTTTGCTACATACACACTTTAAGAGGTTGATATTTTAAGACAACCCAGGCTCCCAACTTTGGGGAAAATTGAGTCCATTTTGGGGAAATTTTGGGGAAGCCGCTATAATAAATTTTGGGGAAATGAGAAAAAAACCCAAAATTTTCCCGAAATTCCCCAAAATTTCCCCAAAGCTGGTAGCTTGGGAGGTCATAAGGCACATTGCAGTCGTAGATAAAGTGAAGGAAAGCTTTACCTATAATTAGTTATATAGTAATACATTTTTATGCATTATGCCGTCTTTTTTATCGGTAAATAACTAGCCATACAAACGAAATATCCCCGAAACTCCCCAAAATTTCCCCAAACACTGGTGAAGGTCATTTGACTCCGAGCGTTTCCCCGAATACCCCAAACTTGGAAGCTCGGGTTGTATTCATACATACAAGTAGATATCATGCAAATGTAATTGCGTGATTACACGCTACAGGTATTATTACGCGGTAATTTTGTTTTTAGGCTTTTTTATTGTCTTCTAGCTGAAATACGTATCTAAATAAAACATCCTAGAATGCTTCTGCCGTGAAAGTGGACACTGACGAAATGAGGGTAGACTATAAGTTATGGACAAACCATAGGTTATAGGCTCACCCGAAATGCTGTTAAGTGAACCCAAGCCCCCGTTTTTCAAAATTACCTAAGTTATTAGCCCTAAGGCTGAAGTAAGGTTTTGTCTCCAACAAAACGTCCAAAATTAAATTTTTCGCACATGGTTTCTTTCCTGTTAAGATACTTTTGAACGTGTAACCTGTGAACGGTCTAGGAATTCGGAGTATTACTGTAGTTCAGTTACTTAAGGTATCAGCGTATGCTTTCGTTACCACGTAAGGAAAATTTTTACTGGTTAACTATTTACAAAGTTGACTGTCTTGTCTGAAATTTGTTGGGCAGTTATTTCAAGTCGACCTAAGTGTTATCTTCCAGTTTGTCCATAAGTGTTAGTAGGATGTCGCGACAGGCTTCTATGCAATGGCACTACAATGACAGTCAACCTTCGGGACAAAACTACCTTGGAATACATTTAATGACAAGATGCAACCAAACTACTGTCTAACTCAGGAATATTAAAATATCAGTTTATGGTTTAGCGGCGATTATAGAATTTTTACAGTTTTTATATTAGGGACTTATCCTAGCTAGACCACCTTTTGAGGCTATAAAGTACGTAACAATTGTTTAATCTTGGTATCGGACTCCTCAGCAGTGCACATCTACAATCGTTCAAAGGCAGTTAAACGCAGGATCGGCCTCACACGCCGACTCATTGGTATAAAGGTTAAGTATTCGCAAGCGAGATAAAACTTCTTGGGTTCTAAATTCTCTGACATGGACTGCCGAGGAGTTTCACGCCAAGACAAAACGGCTGTGCAATACTCCCTGGTTTTCGGTAGTGTCCTAACTAAAATCACTTCGTGATTTAAACCATGGAAATCGAGAATTGTTGGTAATTATAAGTCTTAGTTAGGCCTGTTTTACTAATGCTTGAATCATGCATAAATAACACAAGCGTACTTTAGTAATTGGATTGGGGAAGTCATCCGACAACCTAGTCAAATGATTTATTTGAAAGGTACTCAATAGATGCCACCATTTCATATATACTCAGCTGTACAGAACTTGTGCTGAGGTTGGTTACATATCTATTTATAAACTACCGCAACATATGTGTGGTAAATAACATATGTACAATAAAGATCATTCTTCGCCTCTTTTGGAACTTATTTAGTTAAGTCAAATACACTAGTATATCACCGTAAATCATTTTTTATCTGGCTGGGGATGGAGTGGCTTTTGCAGCATCATGCACCCACCTGCTTCTGTTTGGGCACCCAGACAGTATTCCTGCCTTCTCACAGATCGAATGGCAAAGTGTGGCGCATATATATTTGATGCCTTCTTTTACCAATGCTTACGTGTTTAAATAAATAATATTTCGTTTGTTGGTAGGAATAAATCTAACCATCCTTTGGTAGAATTTATAACTACCTGTAATTCCCGACTTTCACTGTTTTTCATCCACATTCACAAAGTTTTGGTGTGTTTTTCAGACTTACATAATACTCCTTAAAGCTTAGTGTTTTCGTTTTGATTTTTAATTATTTTGATTGGTAAATGCTCTGTTTTATTGAACAGATTTATATTATGTTACAGGATGTCATCCAAAGTTCCTATACTTTCTGCCGGTGGTCCTTTGATATTTCGTCAATTATTTGAAAAGGTTTCATCTACATACACTTACTTACTGGCCGACTCACATACCAAAGATGCTGTTATTATCGACCCTGTTTTAGAAACTGTTGAACGAGATAAAAAACTTGTAGGTTGGTGTAATTCTTAACTTTTAAGTAAAATAATAAATAAATTTTCGGGTAATCCTAACAATATCAAATTTCAGGAATCCTGACTTCTAAAAGTGGTTATGTAGTCATATTCTCCTTTTGTCATATAGGTGGTTAGCGGTATCTTAAATCTAAAACCACTCGAGTGGATTAAATTAGTGAATAAAACTGTGTTCACTGAATTACTTTTTGTTTGTCAGTCAGTCAGCTACAACGTAGGATCAGGCACATATATGCATCGGTCCAAGTTGCCATACCTCATTAACACAACAAGGTGGACACCGGATTCATAAAAGTAGTTAATTCAGAGGTGGTAATATATAAAAGAAAGATTGCAACAAGGATAAAGCACAGGAAGAAAGAATTAGTTCGTAGAAAGAAAGATATGAAGCGATTTTAATCTCTTAGTTTAAGGGAAGACAGAGTGTATACACCTACACCATTGTGATCGATTCTGAGCCATGTCACCAGGAGTCTCCAACCATTGGTTACAATAGTCACGCGGACCCCAACCAAGTAGTCTGCATCTACCAACATGGCTCAGACTAGAAGTTAGTGAGTCCAAGCACTGATGCCACGTTTTGGTTTGGCCGTCCCTAACCTTCTTCCAACCATCCCGAACACCGGTTAGCATTGCACGTCGTGGTAATCGGTGTTCAGGCATACGTAACACGTAGCCCAACCATCTCAGTCGATGAAGTTTCACAACTTCATCAACTAATTTACCATCAATACACAATACCCTGCGTCTAACCTCACTATTACTTACGCGGTGATCCCAGCAGATGCCAGCAATATTTCTAAGGCATCTGTGCTCAAATACTAGTAGCTTACGAATGTCTTCTACTCTTAATGGCCATGTTTCGCTGCCGTAAATTAAAACAGAACGGACTGCCGCGCAGTATACTCGTCCTTTTATTGATAGACGTATATCTCGCATTCGCCAAAGGTGACGTAAGTTGGCAAAAGCCGAGCGAGCTTTTCGAATCCGTGCTGAGATTTCGTCAAACACCAACCCATTAAGGCTTATCAGACTTCGCGTTCGACTACTTCACTCTCTATCCTTAGTTCAAGTGTTGACGCTGACCAGTCCTGAAGCAACAACTTGTATTTAGAGGGAGAGAAGCGCATTCCAAACATTCTGGCATTGTTGCTTAGTGCTACCAAAAGACTGCATTTTATCAGCGTCTTCACCAAACAGGACTATATCATCTGCGTATTCTGAGTCGATAAGTGGACCTCCGGGTAGGAGATCAATGCCCGGGAATTCAGCCGATGAGAGCGTTATTTCCATCAGTAGATCTATGGTGAAGTTAAACAAAAATGGAGAAAGTGGACAGCCTTGACGGACACCACTTGAGGTTGCAAAAGCAGATGACAGTTCACCATAAGCCCTGACTCGACTGGTAGTGTTCGAGTAAAGAGCCTTCACAAGGTTTATGTACTTCTGAGGTACGCCTTTCAATGACAGACACTGCCACAGAATCTCGCGGTCTACCGAGTTAAATGCTGCTTTTAAGTCAAGAAAGACCACAATTGTCGGACGCCGATAAGTATGCCTATGTTCTAGAACCTGACGAATGGTGAATATGTGGTCGATATATGTATGGAAACAGAATGCCAACGAGCATAAGCATAAATGCGCTCATTTTCTCAGATAATCTTTTATTAGTTGAATGATATGAAAATAAGGCATAGACAATGATGTACCGGTTCCAATGACCGTATTTTCATACAACATTCCAATGAAACCCTGTACAACACGATATACAGAGAAACTAAAGCCAGTGGATATGAGCAACTAGTACGTATAAAATGAACGATTAAACAGTGGACATGGTTATATAAAAGTGTATGTTTTTCGTCAAAACCATTACACTTCATGAAGAACTGCAAAGACAAACAACGATAAAACTATGTTTTCAAAACAATGAAAAAACTGAAAATAAACAGTAAAGAGAACAAAACAATAAGATGCTCGCTAGTCGTAGTCAGATAGAGTGGATTTACCTGAATCATCATCTTCCGGACACTGCCTGAGGTCATGGTGCCACACAAGATTAACTTAGTGATCTAATTATTTCATAGGTTGATGCCGTTTTTGATCCTATTACCCATTATCAGTACAACCAATATAGAGTTTTCAGTTAACCGAGAACTGAAATATAATCCAATCATGCTCATTCGAGTTAGCTATCTCAAATTTCTGCGTGGTCTTTTCAACCTAACACAAACATTGACCTAATGATTTTACAGTACTCCAGTTGTCGTTTCAGATCATTACTGACGAAATAGTTGTAACTTTCGCTTGTCAGATAAATTTTACATACTTTATGCTCATTAGCTGAAAACAAACCAAAGTTATCTTCTCTTTTAAGGTTAACTTCATGACATTCTACTGTCCAGGTGATTGCGATCACTAATTACAGACATATCTGAGTTCAAATTTGCAACTGACGACTTTGTTCTAGCATTGTTTCTCTTTCTCGGTTAAATATTTAATTACCTAGGGCTTAAAACCCTATAATTTTATCTATTTAAACTCACAAATCCTCAGCCGTTCATTCAGATATTTTCAAATCTCATTCTCATCTAGCTATAATTCATTGGTCTAAGCATTATCCTTTCAATCACCAAGTTATAGATTCGGATACTACCTCAATCTCGGCACCTAACTTAAAATACATGAAAATTGCTTGAAAATAATTCTCACTGCCTAAGACCCATTATATCGTCCAAGCACTTCGGTGACTATTTTACGTATACGGAACAATAATTTGCCCAATCTTTTCAAAAATCCTCATCAGCAAGACAAAAACAAACAGTTACTATAAATAATCATACACATTTTTTTCATATTCTTATAAACTTAGTGTTATTTAATTCATCAAGCTTAGTGGTGAGATATTTACAGTCAATTATCCAATCTCTAAAAAGTGCAAAACAAATTCCTATTATATAATGCTTATCTCTCCCATAGTTACCGGAAATTTATTTATTTATTTGAACACAAATATTGGTACAAAGGGGCACCGAATAAATATGCACCACACAAATCACTTGATTTGTGTATGGGTTGTGATAATACCCGGGTGCCCAGACCGAAGCAGGTGGTTTTCTTAGCGGGCCATACCCGAAGCCGTTCACCTAAAGTTCGATCCATGAGGGAGTGAAGCAACATCAGGAGATGCAGTCCCATGGTAGCCGGTAACCAATGATTGGTTAATACACCATTTGTTCCTTCAGGATACTGGAGCCCATGTGCACCATTGGTTTGGAATCAGGGTTTTCCAACTCCTCTAGATGAATCCTCCATATCTATCAACCTGGTTAAAGCTCCGGACATTCCCTTTTCGTCCTCTCAATTTCGTAAACAACACCCTCGCCTCGTGAAGGCAGCGATTAGGGCTTCCCTGACAGTGGTCGTCTACGCGTGAGAGCATTTGGAGAGGGAGAGCTAACTCTCCCCACCCTCGGCCGTACCAGGGCACTACTAAGCAACCATCTTAGGTTTTTAGTGTTTATTTATAGTAGAATAATCGCAATTGTTATTGTAGCAAATTTTTCATCTATTTCTATTGATATATTGTAATTTAGATATCTCAGTTGAATCTTAAATTGGGTCCGATAATAAATACTCATTTGCATGCGGATCACGTAACTGGCAGTGGGTTGTTAAAGCAAATTCCTGGATCTTTCAGTGTGTTGTCGCACTATGATGGAGTCAAAGTTGACAAGATAATAAAACATGGAGATGTTATTAAATTTGGAAATTTCGAATTAGAATGTCGAAGTACTCCAGGTAGGCTCGTATTAAAGTCACCTTTAATTTTATTTGAAAAACATGTGACTGTGTAGTTGATCATTTTTTAACTTTCTAAGGTTAAATGAAGCAAATATACAGAATTCACTTTTATTTTCAGTTCATCGTTTTCTAAAAATCTATAATGTATTGCATTACTCGTAATTGTAATAGAACTGAACGACATTTTTATTACGTAGCTCTTTAAACTTATATGTTGACTTCATTGTTATTACCATTATCAATGCCTTATATTAACTTCATAGGGCATACATCAGGTTGTATGACGCTAGTATTGCATTCCGCTGGTGTTGCTTTCACTGGTGACACACTTTTAATTCGTGGTTGTGGAAGAACAGATTTTCAAGGAGGCTCAGCTGAGACATTATATGATTCAGTCTATTCACAAATCTTTAGTCTTCCAAATGATTATACATTGTTTCCTGCTCATGATTATTTAGGCAACACTATGACTACTGTTGGTGAGGAAAAGGCATTTAATCCTCGGTAAGTTTATATATATATATATATATATATATACTAAATCTGAAACTTGTATATATTGAATTTTCAGCGTACACGCACACTAATCGTTCCCCAGATATTAACATATTCTAAATATCCATGATATGTTTCAAACTAATCTTGTTTTAATTTTTAGGTGTATGCGGCTGAGTTTCTCTCTAGACTAAACGAAGTTCTCATTGCGATAGTCAATGGTAGACAAATCCCCAATTTATGTTTTCTTCAATTGCGTTTACCAGTTTACATGTGCATGTCAAATCATCTACATCAGAAGAATAGAAAGTAGGGTCAGTATCCGCATGTATGAACACATTCCACCAAATTTGCGACCAAGAACAGGAATTTTTCGACAGTGCAGTTGCTTGACATTTGTTTAACATTGAACATGATGCTGATGCTTAAAAGTCCTTAGGAAATATCAATGTGCACGAAAATTAAAATTTATTGCGTTTTGCTGGAGCCACTCTAATAAAAAGATTGAAATCGAATTTTTGTATCCATAACGATACAGTTCTCAATTTTGTTTTGCCTTGGTGACCTCGTTTACATGAAGTTACTGTGCGAGATTTTTCTCCATGACCTTAATCACGATTTCCACTATCTTATTCCTTATTATGAGCTTTATTCACCTAGTTTATATTGGTTAAACTGTTACTTAATTTATGGCATTAATCTACGATCTCGCGGAAAAATTCTGTTTCCCTGTCCCCAGTTTTCTCTTCTAGAATATTCATATATTTAACCTATAAGTAAGCAAACGCCTGAACAATAGTTGATTCTTCCACAATTATCATCACTGATTATTCTATATCTCCAACTCAAGGTTATTCAAAACTTATGAAGAATGGATACCTGAGTCTTTTTTAAGGATTAGTGCCGGGTTTTATACAGATAATTAGAAACTGTGAAATATAATGAATTCATATTGTTCTATTACATTCTCTGTTCTTTCTTACTCAAACTTACAAATAGATAAGAAACCGTATGAAAGATTATATCCCCTGAATAATGCACATTATGTTGTGATCTGTTACACATTGAAGTACTCATCTCATTGCATTAATTTTACACAAACCTCTAGTTCTGGCCTGATATTATCAAAACCTAGTTCCGCTATGCAGAACCTTGCTTACACGAGCATAGTGTGACAGACCCGTGTTCTCAATTCCTCTCAGTAGTGAAGGCAGTACCGCGCGATTTAAATGGGTATGTCTACTAGTGATGTTTCCTAATCTTCCACAATACCGAATTGCAACACAGCTCAAGAATAAAAGTATTGCTATGCATTAGGGAGGTCAGTGGTCAACGAACTTCCTACGTTGGCCTCTTAAGACAGATCTTCCTATCTAAGCTTGATTGGCGTTGGTACTACGACAACGAAGACGAGATGGCGGGCATTCTTCATCACTTCAGTGCTGTATAACACGGCTATGTCCACCGGCTACGGTTGCCGACTTTATGAAGATAGAATATATAAATAGGCTGGAAAATCCTAAGACACAAAGTAATATGATATTTAAAAAATATATGATGTTATGACAAAAAGCAGATTCACAGTTTATCGTTTGGCATACTAGATCACATTGACCACACTATGGATATTCCGGGTTTGACAATGCTTTTGTTCGTAGCATCCTTTTGATTGAATGTTCCCAAAGAAATGAAGGGGGTTCAAAGATATATTTGAAAGGTTGTCAATATATGGAGAAGCGTCTGACTTAAGCTAGTTACTTGCTGCGAGAGATGCGTAGGACGGCCTACCTAATTGGAATCTGGTGCGGATGCATGACTGATCATCTTCAGTTAAAATGTGTCCAGTTAAACTAATGAGTTCAGTATTATTGTCGAAAACTTAAGAACTATCTATTTGGGGATCTACTTACTACTACTATGGAAATTTACTGCCTTGTTTTAAAATTTATTCAACCTATCATGTACACGTTCTATACTTTATAAAGATCTATGTCAATCTAATTTAACATTTAAAATGTATTCATTTCTTACTAATGGTCAACTTAAATATCCGCTTTGATCTAACATACATCAATGTTCCTTAGATCATCTAATAATAATGATTCAATTCAATTAATTTCAGTTTAAAATTTCAAAACTGTTCTATTCTACTCTCTTTTTCATATTCATATTCATTTTAATTTTTTAGATTAACTAAAACCAAAATTGAATTTGTTAAAATTATGAATGAATTAAATCTTCCGTTACCTAAACAAATGGAACGTGCTATTCCATTGAATCTAAAATGTGGTATCAATGATGAATAATGTCAAATGATTCTGAAGTAATATATATTCATTTGTTTGTTTGTTTATTTGTTTATTTATTTCTCTCAGTCAGTTTACTTAACTTTGTTCAAAAATGTCCATTTTTTAAAATTAAAAAATCAGATTACTTTATCCGTAACTTAGTGAAATACTCATTTCCAAAAAGGAAACATCTCCATATAAGTGACTTACATCTATTATCAACATCCTATTTCTATTCATTAAGAGTGATACTTAAGTTTTATTTAAAATATTTCTATTATATAAAATTGTCTTCCATTGTTTTTTATTGGATATTGATTTAAGCCTAAATTTTAATGGTTTAGTTTTCAATTGATCAAAATTCAATAATCTATTTTGTGCACTAAATCTTTAACCATTAATATTGATTTAATGCGTTGTTGTTTTTCATTATTTTTCCTTATATCTCTTCTTATCTGTCAATATAATTGATTAAATCATTATGATTTCTAATATTGATTAATTTTTATTTATGTGTGATAATAATCATCTGCTCACTAGTGACTGACTTCAAAAGATACTCTTGGAGTTCTAGCGAGAAGCCGTTACCAGTAGAGTTCAACCAGGTTTGTTGTCATATATCAACTCACTGAAGACAATGGTATACGGTGGCGCAACTTCGTGGATTGGTTGAAGTTAGACATTAACACCATTGGATTCCGGCTCAAGTGGTCTACTTGGTTAAGCAAGACTGGCGTGAGACTGATAGGTCCTGGGTTCGACTCTCGCGGGGTGTGGGATCGTGGATGCGCACTGCTGAGGAGTCCCACAATAGGACGATACGGCCGTCCATTACTTCCAGGTTTTCCATGGTGGTCCAGTTTTAATTGACTCATAATTTCAATCAGTGAAATTTCTAAAATCTCCACAAACCCCTTCTGATAAATATGCATTAATCAAGGTTTAATTTTCTAGAAGAAAACAAAGTAAAATTTATTTGTTAAACATCATCTGATAAATTAATTGATTCAATGTGATAGGATGACAGTAACTATTAAAAGCTCTGTTGTGTGCTGTAGTCTGATTTAGTTACACTTCCTACAGTTGACTAGACCCATTACACAAATGGCTCTCGAATGGCCTGTTACGACCGAGAGTGGGGAGAGTTAGCTCTCCCTCTCCAAATGCTCTTATATGGCCACGTGCATAAAACCACTGCCAGGGAAGTCCTACTCACTACCTTCACGAGGCAAGGGTGTTGTTTACGAAATTGAGAGGACGAAAAGCGAATGTCCGGAGCTTTAATCAGGTTGATAGATATGGAGGATTCACCTAGAGGAGTTGGAAAACCCTGATTCCAAACCAATGGTGCACATGGGCTTCAGGATCCTGAAGGAACAAATGGCGTATGAACCAATCGCTGTTCATCGGCTCCCATGGGACTGCATATGTTGACGTCGCTCCACTGCCTTATGGATCAGACCTTAGGTCAAAGGCTCCAGGTGTGGCGCCCTAAGAAAACCACCTGCTTCTGTTTGGGCACCCGGGCAGTATCCCAGCTCTCACACAAATCGAATGACTTATGTGGTGCATATCTATTTGGTGCCTCTTTGTACCAATGGTTATGTGTTTAAATAAATAAAATTACATTGACCGGGTGCATGATCATCTACTTTCAATAGCGTATCTCATCTATTGTTAGGTCTTGAGACGGCTCATCAATTGTCCGGCTTCTATAAAGCCATGTGATGTATCAAGACCCCTCCAACAAATTAAGCTCGTGAACCGCTCCATGTAATTCGATACGGAAGGAGAGTAAGTTATCATCATTAACTCTTACGCAAAATTTGTAGCTCAAAGCTGAATTCACAAACATTTTTTCTTAGTTATTGAGATGAATAAGCTTTAACGTTGTAGTGCAATTCAACTAGTAAGTTGCAGATCAATGCCTTCCTTTACTTCCAATGGTTTGGGGACCCGTTTAGTATTACTGGGCCTCATACATAAAATTTGACAATATATCCATAAAAAGTAAGTATAAGGAAGCAATGGATAAGTGGATTACACTTAATTATTTAGTTACTACCATCTCAGTGTCCTCATAAATGTATTGAACCACTCAATATTATGACGACCTTTGAGCAAAAAATTAGTTTAAATAAGTGTGTAAAGGTCTCTCTATGGTAATTGGCCCTAGAAAACAAATTAACGAGACAACTCAATTTCAGACAAAGAATTTATGCATATATGACTGTGATCAATATTATACATTAAGGTAAACGAGTCGATTGTTTTTTTATGCCAGTCAGTAATTAAAATTAGGGGCGTTTGAAAAGGGTGACATCAAAATGACTGGTTCTCTCTCCTTACCCTTAAAGATAAATTTTTAGAGTCCAGTTATAAATATTAAAAAAACAGTGGTTGGTATCGATGCCGATACATTAAGATACATTAAGGCATGACGTTCAGAGAAATTAATTATCTCCTCGTGTAACCAGTTTCGAGATTGGATTTAATTTAATGATACGTGGTCATTAGAGCTCAATGTTATTGAAAAGTAATCAGTGCACAAATTGTTGGCTTTCATATCCTTAGAACAACAATCATCGAGTATGTCATTTTTTAAATTCTCGATATTATTGAGGGACAGGCTTTGAGGACTGCAAAATGGGAAGGAAGGTATGGAGAATTGTTCATCATTATGATGGCAGTTAAGAAGAACAAATTCAAGCCACGGTTATTCTAATGTTATTTGTACGGTACATGACTTCATGTTAAATGTTTTTTCTGGTTTTCAGTATAATGGAAGAGATTTGTAGCTTAGGATGAGGATTTAAGTCAAGTTGTACTATTATAACCCAGTGAAGATTAAGTTACAGGTAACTTCCGAGGACTGTTAATAGACTAATATTCTATAAATATTCTTATTGTATAATTACTCAATAACTACATTATGTGTGTTTATATTCCCCTTATTATAAGCTTTATTTTGACCTATAATTTATTACTATACGATTTACGGTTCTTAATCTATGTTCAGTCTGTTAATTACTATCTCACGCGTTCACAGCCACTTTTTGGCTTATTTGTGTACACATATTATTTTCTATTTTATGGTACGTTGTGGTCTGTCTGATTGGTATATAAACAGAGTATGTTTGAAATACATAATTCATATTGCGGAAGCTGGTATTGTGTTTTTTTGGACTCAAGCAGATGGGCTAGAAGGACCTCGGACCAACAAGGCGCTAGACTGCCCACACCGGTTGAACGTCATTGGTTGGTATAGATTGAAGATTTGTATAAGTCGTATTCTGATTGGTGGGTAATTCGCGTGGTAGAAAGGCCAGGCATCAAGCTCATAACATGTACTTTGTAAGCTGGATGGTGTAATCGTGATGCGTTCATTTTTAGAGAAGATCGATATTCTGAGGAAGCCAGGTTATTCTCATGGAAATAGTATACATCCTTCTACGTACCTGCCTTGTTAGCTGACTGTGAATATTCAGCAACATCATATATTGAAATTCTGAAATGTATTCATCAATAGTTCAATGGCATCATTCGAATCGTTCCAATCTTGTCAACCGCAACTACTAATAATATATTCGTTTTGATCAGTAAAATTAAAACATTATATATAATATATATATATCGTCCTATCACTAAGTGAATAGTTAGTACGTGTCAGCGATAATAAAAGTGTATTTTCAAATATAAATTTGGTCACTTATTCCTTATTTAACTTGGTCGAGGTTATCTACAGTTTACAATAAGTGTTTAATGTTTAACATTTAATGGATAAGTGTAATTCTTATTATTGATTTCATTTCAAATATATATAACTCACTCTATTTTTTGTTTACTATCCACCATGTTAGGCTATACTAAAATGATGTGTTTACATAACACAGTAATTGGATTATTCGAAATGAAACCTCTAGTGTAAATTACATTAATGTGTTACACTGACCTACCAGATGAACGGTAAAATAATCGATACAGCACGTTTATCGAATATTAAAAAAAGGGGTGATGATAATCCCACTTGTTATGTTCGCTAGATTTTAAAATAAAACATATCTGAAAATGAAGTTATAACATTTATTATTATTTATTATCATTCAATTGATGATATAAGGCTTATGAGAAATTCTTATAACTTGTGCCCCATTAATATATAACGTGGTGATACCGCCAATGATAAAACACTGGCTTATTGACCGGACCAATGACGTATGGGCCCGTACGACCATTTTAGAGTCTTTATCGGTCTTCCTTCCTGTTTAGCCTTGCCTGTTAAGTTCAGAACACCAATCTCAGCCTCAGCGGCATGAATCATGTATTTCAAACATATCGGGTTTATATACAAACCGAATAGTCATCACACTACAAAATAGAAAACAACATTTGTACAAGATCTAGCCAAAAGTGACCATGATCTGTCTACTTTAGATTAAGACCTTGACGCAATAGGCTGGCCGGTTTAACCTTGAGGCTAGTACGCGTGAGTTCGAGGTGGGGTAGAGAGAAGAGAACTATTCTAGTACCTGATTGGCTGGCAAGCACGCGAATGAGAGAAGACAAGTCAGTTGGAACACTATCGACTGTATTGCGATATCCTGATTTCCTGTGAAATCGCTGAACTCCCTGAATTCAGATCAGTGCAAAAAGGTACATGAATAAATAGGTGATTTACCTGACCACAACGTACAATAATTTGGAAAAATACAATTTCATACACATAGTTCCTTTTATTAATTTAAAGAGAGCAAGAACAAAGGTTAGTGCAGAATAATATGAATTCATTTTATTTCGTTAGGTTCTCATCAACTGCTTACAACCTAAAATATTTGAAATTCAAAGTTATTATAGATATTGACATACTTATACGACAGAGGGCGATGAAGGATGAATATATGTAACATAATGTGGCAAAGATTTTGTTAGAGTTAATGAGGTCATAAAATTTTGTTTCGAATATATAGAGTTTGGGAGGGAAAGTTCCAGAAAACTGAGATAGTGATTAGAAATCATGGAAATAAAACACATTAGACGATTATGTAATGAAGTAACTGAAAATAGATTAATGTTAATAAAGAGAGATATGAATTGAAATTGGTCAGTTATGAATGATGTAATTATAAAATTCATAAAGAGTTGGGATGACGTAATAAAAATAAAAGAGGGTGGGGTGAATGTTACCAGGGCAAAGAAAGACTTATTACTGTTTCTTTTTGTATACAAAGATCTGGTTTTAAGCGTTTGATTACTGTTGCTTCGGCGAATTTCAAAAGGTTTGAATTTGGTTGTTTGTTGATCACCTTGAAGGACTTCAGTATGTTAACTTCGTGTCCTATGTCAAGGAGATGTCTTGCGACAGCGCTGCTAAACGCTTTTAGTCCGTTTGATCTCAAACTCTTCGGAATATGTTCTTTGAATCGGACGTAGGCTCTCCTTTCTGTTCTACCAATGTAACTGCTTTGGCAGATACATGTAAATTTGTATACACAGTTGGTGGTAACATGAAAGGGATACCTGTCGACCTTTGATTGTGTC